ATTTCAATGGAATGGCTAGCTAAGGACTTTGTTAGTGAACTATGTATTGCTGATAGTTTTAATGCAGTATTTTGGAGGTGTTACTGACCCTTTATTCAAGCTGGTCTTTGCACGCGCACCCATTCCTCCTAAAGTTAATAGTCAGCTGTATAAATCTTGAGGAAAGGTCAGTCAGTACGTGGCATGCTGTCAACTGAGGTCAGTTCTGTTGGAAAAAAAATCCGACTAGTCATGAAGGAAGGCAGATGGTTTTAAAATTTTAAACCACACAGCTAAAGAGACTGCTCTTGCTTTCACTGAAGCTTCTACAAACACAAAGCTTCTGAAAATTTTATTTACCCTTTTTAATTGGGCTGGTTTAATATGCAACACCCTAGTTAGGTCTCATTTTCAGGGCTTGAAATGCAAGCACATGCCAAATCATATCTTCGTATTGTCGGATGTGGCACAGCCTAGAGAGCTGAACGAGCAATGTAGCTGAACTATTTTCACTTGCTGAACTGAGCTCTTCTGGGGAAAAAGAAAAAGGGATATATCACAAGTTTCAGTTCTGTACTGTGTGTGTCTCTCATCCCTAATGTGTATTTCTTTTTCATAAAAGACCAACAGTAGAAATAAAAATGTCAGTTGTCTGTGAAGCCTTCCTCAGTGGTTTAATTTTTAATTCCATGCTCTGAAATTTTGGTTGTTAACAAATCCTTTTGAAAAATGATGAAAAGTGACTTGTTGGGAGCATGGTGATTGTATTTCCCCTTCTATCTATTCCACTGCTGTTTTTCTAACCGCTGCTACCAATGACTTACCTTGCATTTCTTAATGTTAACTTTTGCATTTTATTAAAAGTAGTGACAATATATTTCATGTATGATCTGCATCAGTGTTGTATTTGCCAGGAAAGAATGGTCTGGAGGTAAAGGAAGGTCTTACTATTCTGAAATTTAAATAATTTAAAATCTGCTACAAAATCAACACTGACAGTAGTAAGAGTATGTCTTACTGCTCAACAAGCAGACTTAATACGGCAGGAGTTACAGAGCCTGCATGTGAACTCCAGGTTAAATTGATTCTTTTTCACAGAACCATGGAAATGGACAGCAAATCCTCTATTGATATTTATTTGGTTTCCTTCCTGTGTCATGTAGTGTAGGGCTCCCGCTTAGTGTAACTAATTCATGCCGACCAGAGTATGGCTAGATGGGATTATTGGGTGCTCGCTATTGAGTCCTTGAGACGTTCTTTGGTGTGGTCTTTCTTTCATGAGGTAACAAAGGAATTGATTGCCTTTACTGTTTGCCATTCTTGCCATATGCATGGCTTATATTCCTGGCAGACTGGCATTTCTGTTGCACAAATTTAACTCTTCTTTCATACTCCCAGGTAAGAGAGATTATTGTCTATAGAAAGTCTGTCCTGCCTTAAGAGTGACTGTACTTTATTGTGGCTTAGAAGACCAAGAACATGCAGGGTGTATCTTAATTAAGCCTTTCCATTTATTGTGATACCTCTTAGAACAGAGTTTGTTACAAAATGTACAAGAAAGTATTTGTGCTCTTTGAGTATGAAAACAGCTGGCAAACATTTTAATCATAAAACCTGTGCCTATTCTTTTACATAGTGAGGTTTGCGCAATGTTGTGTCCAACTAGTAACATCCAGTGCCATTCCAAAATGTGACTGGCTCTGTAAGTCATTCGCAGGGATGCATCATTTCAGCGTACGCTCTGGACGTAAGAGCTTGGGTTGGAGTAAGCCTGCGCTGCACCAGCAAACTGAATAAGGGTGCTAAAGTAGGAGTATGCTTTTTAATTTCTGTGTTAACATCCAGAATGAATATATTTTTGAATCTGCTCCTTGGGTAGAAGGTAGCACGCACTTGATGCTCTCTCATATGTATGTTAATGACTGCATAACCCCTCAGCAATTGCAGATACTGCATATTTGAAGTTTTTTGTTTTACAAAGGTAATTTTGAATTGTATATCTTGCTTATTTGCGTGAAGTTTTTGTAGAAGGTCCTGTTTGCTATGCTGCTCTTGATCTTTTTGTACCATATAGATCACAATTCTCGCTGGGTAACGGCGTTTAAAGGTTAGTGAATTCCTCTGAAAATTGGATATACCTTGGTCGCTCTTCTAATCACAATTAGGATTAAGGGCTTAGATATTCTTGTGATGTAGTCTAAGGTATGCTTTTCTTCTTCAAGGCACTTTGCTAACAACCAATCAATCTTCACAGCAACTCTGCTTTAGTGTCCCTAGTTTTTAGATGTGATAAAAGTGATAGGTTATATGATACACCCAAAGTCAGGAAGAAAGTGAGTATTATTCTGAGGACTGGCACCAGTATTTCATGACTCACAATGCTGGACCAAAATACTTTCGACTGATTTGGCTCCAATTTTATGTCTCTCTTTTTTTTAATTATACACGATACAGCATCTAAGCAACAGCACTACACAAGCTTCTCAGAGAAAAATAGCTTTCTTTTGGTTTTGGTGGGCAACTGTTTAAAGGATTAAAGCACATTGAAAACATTTAGTTGAATAGATTGCTGGTAAGTTTTACAAAAAAATTGTACCTGGCATAACTAGAAGGTTAATAATCTCTAAGGTATTGCCCTGGTTTATAGATACTGCTTTTGGAGCAATAAATTTTAACCTTTGAACATTTGCTTCTGCAAATAAAATCCAGCCTTATTTTGTGTACTTAACAACTTCTGATTGGAGACACATAGCAACCTATAGCAAGCATGCTTTCAGCAAACTGGAACAGAAATGAGGCAGATCTTCAAAGTGGTCACTTATCTTCCTCAATAACTCTTCTACATGTAAACAAGATAAAACAGGTCGTTTTGCCAGATCCCCTCTCTTTGAATGATGTTTAAATAATTTTAAAGAGAAAGAAGTTGTGTTCAGATATATTTCTTTTCTTAAAGTTCTTTCTTGAAGGACTTTTTTCTTTTTCCTTTTTAAAATTTTAATACAATATTAAACTATGTCATGGAAATGGGATTAAAACAGGTACCTATGAACTTGATCCTGCAAAACCCTGGGGCCAGTGTTCTGTGCACTTAGCTAGAGCTAGGTCCTAAATTATTGTGTATCAGTACAAAAGACAGTTTTCTTCTGTATTCTTACCTTTTGAAAGTCTAAATCTGGAAATTTTAATTAATTTTTCTCTAGTATGCAAGCATAATTCTGTTTAATTGGCCAATGTGAGGAGGCTTTTCTCCTTGAACCTTTTTCAGTCTCTATTAAGTTAAATACATGTGCGTGTGTGTGTGTGTTAACTGTAGGTAAAATATCTCTAGCATTTCCCTCTGTAGACAGAATGGCTGTTCTTTGTATTTCCAATGGATTCCTCTTTTGGACAGATTCAATGGATGTCTCTTTTGGGAGACCAGTGTTTTGGTTTGGTTGCCATGCTCATCAATATGGATGGTAAATCACTTTGTTCCCACGTGCTGTATGTCATGTTCCGCTTTTCATAGTACGTGGAAATCAGTAGGAGTCTTTCAGTTGCTGAACTTTGAATTGTAGTTTCTTCATCTCATTTGTATTACCTATGCAAAGCTTCAAACTGCTGTTGCCAGCAAATGGAGCAGCATTGGGAAAGGAAGGAGTGGGAATTTTACGATGTAGGTATGTGTCCATTTAAAGTTGGAACTTTACTCTTATTTAGTGCTGTCCTTCTCGCAACCGTAAAATGATAAATAAAATTAAGAAATAGTGAAAACTGCCAGCTCCCTGAACCACTCTGGTCTTGTCATTCTCCTCTATTTTTTGTAAGCTTTTTTACCATCACTCTGCTTTTAAATTTGATATTACAATTCAATAACACACTAATCATGAAAATCTGCATGTTCACTTGCTACAGTAGCTGATATCACATTGGAAAACAATTATGAAAAAAGTCATTTATTTTAATGTTCTTCATATACAAAGTAATTTCACATTACCAACATTTTGATGATCTAATAGTACTATTTGTTATAATTAAGGAAAAAACCCCAAGAATGTAGTGCCTAAATGTCTTAATGCTCCTAAGTCTTATTCGCAACAGTGACAGAGAGATTTAGGAGGACACCTTGATGAAAATTAGTGAGGATAGGCATCCTAAATTTCTAAGCTGCTTTTGACAATGAGGGTATAAATTCCCAAATCACTTGCATATGCTTTAAAAATTTTCCCTTTGCAGACAAAAGTTACGCACATGCAATTAGTAGTCGTATTAGGAAGTAAGTATCCAGATTATTCTTAAGTACTGATTACCTACCAAATTCTGCTTAGTATGGAAGGGTTCAGCACTTCGGGAATTGAGACCCACTTAAAAAATGCCGAAAGCTTATATTTAAGTGAAATATTTGTTTACTTTGCCTTCCATTAATTTGGCTTCTCAGATTGTTTTAGTGTCACAATAGCTCTGAAAGCTGGACCCAATTTAAAATTAGTTGAATGCAGTTATTGCATCTTTATCCATGGGCTATGCTGTCTCATGAAATGCAGTCACTTTTTAAAATACCTACACTTCTTAAAAGGATTTCCCCCCCTTTGCTTTTTCTTGTAGGGTACAAAATGAGTCTGACATGATTTTTCTTCTGTCAGAAATGAACTTGGGCCAAGATTCACAGTTCCAGAATGCTTTCAAAACATTTATGGTAAAATTGAAGAGTGCATGTCTATACCAGTGTATGGAGCATTGGAAATCATACCTGTCAAAACCAAAAAATTCCAAAAAGCTCATCCCTGACCTTTGCCCTTAACATGTAGTGAGTGCAATCACCACGACCCAGGCTTTCCATCAAGTGGGTCAAAACATATAAGCCAGATTTTCATTTATCAAGATCCATGTGTAAAGTCCATGAAAGTGAGATTAGTACATGGAACCTGTGTGGAGATCAGAGGGGAAGGAATATACTCTTTACCTAGGGACGAGGGACAGACAGAGCCCTTGTGTACAGCTGCCGTTACTGCCTCAGCAATGTTGTATTGCCTGTGGCCCATTTTGTGCTTTTTGTTTTTTGTCTGCAGTGTGCTGTGACAAGTGGCCGTATCTGGTCCTCAGCTCTCCTCCCTCCCAGTGCCTACCCACCTGCTGCATGGCTGGAGGGATGCTCGCCTTGTGGCAAAGACTCGGCATGGCATCCTCTTGCAGAGGCTCCCTGCAACTAGGACTCCTGGCACACAGCAGTTCCATTGCCCTTGGGAACTTGCGCTATCCTGCAGACCTGGCAAGTGGCTCTTGGTTTACTGTACTTGAAGCTTATGCGCACAGAACTGTGTCATGCTGGGGACTCCTGCAAAACAGCTACAGCTGTCCTCTCTCTTTCATACTGTAGTGCTCCATGTACTGGTAGTCTATAGTGTTCGTTATGCAGTAGCTCTTCAGGCAGCCTTACTGAGAGGCCACTACCTGCTGCAGGTTCCCGTTGTGCTGCAAACCATTCATGGGAAGCGGAGGTGGAGGAGGTGGAGGTGGGAATAAAGAACTGGACATTTCTGAATGAGTCTGTTGGTCAGGAACTGGCATCGGGCTCACTGAGCCAGAGTCACTCTGCATAGAGCCAAGATTGCTGCCATCAAAATGAGTCATTTTCTTCTTCATTAATTTTCTTTCTTTGGCTCTGCGATTCTGGAACCAGATTTTCACCTGCGGAGGAGCAGAGGAAAATTTTTTTCAGTTGCTAATAGAATGCAAAGTGGTCCTTTATGTATACGGTCAAGGGTCATAGGTAAAATCAATTGCATGAGGACCAGTGAGAAAGGCAGTGGCAAACTGAGACAACAGAGCTGTTTGCTTGTTTTTCATACAGGTAATCTTTCCTATCCGGTAATAAAATATTTATTAATAGTTTGATAAAAAGAGTTTTTCAGTTTTTCAGTTTTATTTTGAGGAGGTATTTATTTATGGAATGAGCTTTGGGTTTGGGGTTTTTTTTTATTTTTTTGTGCAAAATCTAACAGAACAGAATCTCGTGTGTCATAGTGATGGCCAAAAGAATCTGAGAGTATCTTTACATTGAAAACTGTATGCCCTAGTCAGAGCAAGTCAAAACCTGTTACTGGCCTATAAACTGAGGCACAAAAGCTTTCCTGTTTGGATGCTGCACGTTAATTGGTTTGCTCCAATGTGTAAGCCAATGGAAATACACTTCTGAGCAGAATTTCACCAGTGCACTACTCTTGGTACACAACGTCGCTTCAAAATATTGTATAAACGGTGCCTTAATAGCTAGGTGCCTTTTATTGCAGTTGTAGATGGAGCCAGAATCTGCTGCTGCTTCCCGCACAGTCCACTGCTTTATACCATAGTCATTGCTCTGTCGCAGAAATGCAGTCATCTTTGGGAAGAAGTGAAGCAACTATTGAAAAGTATATGGTTTTTGATTAGGATGGAACAAGTAAGGACATGAGATGAAGTTGATGAGTAACGGTCAATTGAAAATACAGCAGAACTTGTTCAGGTGTGGAAGGGTGACTGTTCTGTGGCAACTGAAAAGTCTTTGGATGTGAATCCCCAATGTTGGATTTAAAGCAGTGCATGCCAGCTATTTATCCTTGGAAGTGGCTCTGTGTTATGTCTAGTCAGTGTAATGAGTCAAGCTACCTCATTCAGATACATTGTGTTTTCTTGTTGGTGTTCAGATGGCAAAGGAAACACTTTTGTCACCATTTTCTATAACCCAAAGAAAAATCAATGGTTTGTTGAGAAACAGTGATTTGTTTAGTTATCCTTTGCTAGAAACTAGAAAGGGAAAGAGAATGATGATCAGAAAGGAGGTAAAACAGTAAGAGGTGATAACATCTGTGGCTACTAGGTTGTGTTTTAAAAGAAAACTAGTGGTGAAGCCCCACAAAACATCTTAAGAAGTCTCTGTGACGGCCTCAGTGTACTTACCCTTGAGGCATTATTATTCCCATTTTACAATTGAAGAATTCAGATACACACAAAGCTTGTGGAAATTTGAACTAGGTCCCTTAAGTCCCAGGCTATGATGTGAGACATTTGGCAGCTCATTTTGTTGTCTTAATTTCTGGAGTATCATTTCAGTACCAAATTATGTTCCATTAAACCAGTCTCAAATACTCTCAGATCTCTTGCATTCTGATTGTGCATTCTGATTGTGCTGAGATAATCTAGCTTCACCCATGCATTTGCCAAAATGCATGAAAAGATGAAACAGTCTGAAAACCAAGCTAACATCTGTTACAGATGTTTCAGAATTACCCTCTGGCTTCAGTGTTCTTACCTGCCTTTGAATTTAGGTTTTTGTTCTGGTTTGTTATTAAACTAGGGATGCAGATCTGCAGCAGTGAGCCAGTGAGAATTTTAGTAGGCACTTCAAGGTCATATGCCAATTATCAAATAACTACAAGTAACTACAGGTCTGTAATGTTAGACTAAAAGCTAACATGGTCAGCTGCATCAGCTGACTTGTTCTTCACCTGTTGCCCTCTTTCCTTTCAGTATTTTTTTTTCCACTGTTCGGTTGTTGTGCGAGTAACTCTTCCCCTGAAGTCTAATTTTCTCTCTTCTTTCTTGTCCTCATCATCTCCTTTATTTCTGTATCCTTCCTATATTAGCAATGCTTCGTTTTGCCTTTTTTTTTTATTCATTAGATATTACATCTTTCCTTCCTTATTTAAACAATTGTTCTTTGTCCTTTTGTCTTGAGATATTCCTTCCAGTGTCCTGGATGGGATTTTGGCATAGCCAGGAAAAAAGCTTTTCCAGAAAATCATTTCAGGTTTTAGGCTGAGTGCAGTGGAACTTGGGACAGGACAGTGTGTGTTCAGTCATATTCATATGATGGGGTTGTTTAATTTGTATGAAAGGGTAGTAGTGGGAGTATAGATCAGGTATTTCTTTCTTAATCTTACATTTTCAAAAGTGACTTCAGAGATGTAGGCTTTATGCACTTGAATTAATTTCATTCATGACACATTGATGATGAAGAAGAACAAATATTGCAAAAACTGTTGCCTTGTTTCCCCAATATATATCAAAGAAATGTATCATGTCTTTTTTGTATCACTACTTCAGATATACTAACAAAAAGGTTTATCAGGAATTACCACTGAACCTAGGAAGTTTCAAGTAAATATTGTTGGTCGTTTACAGAAGCAGGGTCATAATTTTTAAATTCAGCATAATGAAGTCAAGTTATTAAGGTTTTAACAGAGCGCAAAAAGACACATAGTATATTTTTTTTATATCCGGTTGAAATAATTTTAATTTTCAATATAAATACTTGGTTTTAACCAGCCAGCAAAAAGACACATAGTATATTTTTTTTATATCCGGTTGAAATAATTTTAATTTTCAATAATTAAATACTTGCATTCAGCAGCAGATAGAGAAATATTTGCAAAATGGGTATTTGCTTCTCCGTTTCTGTAAGCTCTTTCAGTATGTGCTGTGTAAGACAAGTTCAAGTCGGATGAACAGTGCTACAACTAGGTGGATTTTGGACTATTCCTGCTCAGTAGAGCCCATAAAACAATGGTGAATCAGACATAACCTTCAATGAATGATACTGAATAGTAACTGACCGAGAAAACAGAGCTGTGATGCTTTGCGAATAGAAAAGGCGGCAAATGAGCATATTGTGTCCTGAAATCTATTCAGGGAGATCCTTCAGTAAAGCTTTTAATTTTCTGTTTCACTGCTTACTTCAGTGTGCTGCATCAAGAAACTCCCAAGTAAAATAGGACCGAACATATGCTCAGCCCATGTTGTGAGTGTCTTTGTGGGAGATCTAGCTTGGCATCTTATCTCGGTTGTTTGCATGAGCCAGCTGAAGTGCTTGAGAGCCAGAGGCCATGTACCTGCTTTGCTTTGGTAGGGGGTGGCACAGGTATTGCAATTGCATGATTGAAGAGCGCGGCACAGACTGGTTCCAGAGCAAATTGTATATATCTTTTGGCCAGAAAGGATTGTGTTTTGATTAACATCGTGGGAATAGAAGTGGAATTTGGAGGGGGTGGGAGGAAATAGGGGCAGGAGAAAGGAGCAGCAAGTGTGTAGGAAATCTTTAACAAAAGGTAAAAGGCAGCCAAAGAAGCAAATACCTTCAAGTGACCTGAACGTACTTGAGCTCATCACTTCCATTCTCTGCTAAGGCTGACCTTGTTGCAATTGGTTATAGAATTTCCATTGACTTCAGCAGAACCAGGACTTCCGCTTTAGAAATTTTGCCAAAAATTTCTCCCTGCTACCACTACCCCAGTAAAACAGGGAGAAATCCAGGCAGGATTTTGTTGACGTTTTTAAACTCTTGTTTCTCAGAACAGGACTGTATGTAAGACCGGTGTTTGCTTTTTCTGTGTTGTTGCACAGCTCCCTGATGTCGTTATGAGAGCTGAAGTAGTGCTGATGGGATATTTAGAAATGAGGGCAAACAGTGCTGTCAGGCCATTCAGCTGGATGCTTTGAGTTCCTACACTGCAAAGGGAACCCAGTCGCGTTGTTTGGTTATTAGAGGCATTAGCATTTTTCTGTTCTTAACCGGTACGGTTATGTCCTCATCAGCAATAATAAATTCAAAGGCAATCCTGAATGGGTGATCCATACTCTACCTGTCTCTCGGAAAGTCTTAGGTTTGCAGCAAGTTCAGACTTCCTCCTGATTGTAATGTATCTGTTGTAATGAAATTCCTTCTCTAATTCTAATCTCTGATGATCTGTGTAAACCACTCGGTACTTCTCTCTTGTTCTTGTTTTACCTGTTTTGAAAGAAGAACACATTGCTTCAAGCTAGAATTTTTTAACTTTAGTAACACAAAATATCTGGCTTTACATTTGAAAATACGTTTGTAGGTATTTTAGGCCTGATTCTCTATGCACTTACCCAGAGTAACTCCCTTGACTGCAGTGGACTCGGTCTTGATTTACAACACGAGAGGTTCATACCATCAGATTTTGGGTTTGCTCCTTAGTAAATAGATGATAAACTGGTCCTCATATTCTTTATCACCCTTGTGTTATCATTGGGAAAGGCAAGGCGTTCTTGTTAAGAACAAGGAGCCAGGAAACCTGGGTTCTGTTCCCAGCTCTGATGCAGGCTTCCTGCCTGGTGTTGAATTGCTCTGTTTCTCTGTCCCTAAAGCTGATACACTGCTACCTGTTTCAGAGGGAAATTGTGAGGGATATTTTACTGCATAGAAAATACTGAGAGCTTCCGAAGTTCCTCACTTCCTGTTGCTAGAAAAATTAATACGATATTGTGATTGTTACCGCAGCTTGGAGGATGTGTTTTTCCTTCAAGTCTGGCACAGCCTATCCACAACTTGATAATAGCACAGGGAATAGTAACATAGATTTTTCAGATGGCAGTTAATAAAAAAGAGAAAAAGAAAGCAATAATGCTTTACAAAGGACATTGAACGATGATAGAACTACAGCATCTGTTCTTTTGCTGCATCCTTTCAGCTGTGGGTACAGCTGACTGAAGCAGACATGGCTCAGCAGTATCCGGGTCGTTAAAAGGTAATGGCAAACGACATGAGCCAGTGAACACAGATGCAAGGAGCTGAAATTTTATGGATTCTATACAGGATAATTTCTGAGGACAGAATGTGTTGGCAGTAGTGAAAGAGAATTGAGAATGGGAAAGGCTACTGATGCTTCCTTTCTCACCCACCTTTCCTCTGTTGTAAATGTTCATATTAGGCAATCAATATATCAGAGATCAACACCTGCTTACAACTAAGGCCCCTGAGCCCTAGCCTAAGGTCTTCCTACATTTTTGAAAGATTGGATCATTGTTGCGTTAAGACCAGTGTTACCATGTTCGCTAACCACAGCCTTACCGTTTTTTTGTGCTTCCTTGCCTGTCTATATTCATATGGACATTTCTTCAGATGTGTATATTTAGACTGTAAATTGTCTGGGACAGGGAATGTATATTTAGTTAGTATTTTTTTTGCAGCGTGTCCCACTGTGGTACCGTAGGTTGTGAATGTTTGTGTCCTTAGTGGTCACTATAGTAGAACAGCCCCCTTAGATTCAGGTTCTCTCAGATGATGCATAAAACTTGAGGCATATTGTGGCTTGCGGCCTGTAACAGCCTGCTATTGCTGCAGATGTAGCTTAGCTTCATACAACAGCTCGTGTTTGCTTACAGATCTTTTTCTGAAAAGATTGTGTGGGTGCCTAACTCTTCAAAAAACAGGTTGTTCAAACTCTCAAGAATTGCCCCCCTAATAAGAGCAGTTAATTTTGAATGGAGAGGACTGAAATAGATTTTCAGGCATTGAGTTGGTAAAATTTCAGTCTCCGAGTAGATCGCCACGGCACACCGCCCCGTAGCAACCAGATTCCCCCCTGCAGGAGAGAATAGCTGGAGGTTTCATGTATCAGTGGTGTCAAAGGCCTGATTTCTCCCCAGCCCCTCCTTCCAACTCCCCTTGCTTTTGAAGTTTAAGTAGCACCCAAAGATCAGTATTCAGGGTACAGAACTGTAGCAGAATCTTGAAGTACTTTATCCCTTAATTCATTATTTAGTTTCACAGGTTAATGGTTTTTTTTTCCCCATCTGTGGAGGGAGACGTAGTGTCTCTTTGTTTTAATAGCTGAACATACTTAAAGTTAACGTTGCCTTCCACTTGCTGTGTACACTGTATGGTAAAGGCTTGGGAGCCATATCACCTTTTTCTCTTCCAGCATTTGACAGTCAGTACTTTGCTACTTGTAAGAATTTTTGGCTCACCAAGGTATTGTTTGCATTAGGAGGTTCTTCGGGCTCTGATCCTTTTTGTACTGTTTGTATAGATCCTAGATACAGACTTGTTTAGCACTGGAGTCCTGCTGTAAACAAATATTGTTACACCTCTGGTTGTGGATAATAACTTGCTCGCCCTACGTGACAGGGTTTCTCTAGGGCTCTTCCCAGGCTTGTAGAACAAGGTCTACATCAGAATTTGATCCTTCAGCTTCCATGCTCCATGGTGTTCAACCCTGGGAAAGCACTCTCCATTAATAGTGAGTTTACAATGCTATGGGCGTTTTCCAACTGTGTTGAGGCCATCAGTCTGTTTACTTGGAATATTTTAATAGGGAAAATAGGTGTATGCATGTTTGTGTTTGTTCCTTACCCTGGGGATTCTGCTCAACCCATGCAGCCAAAACCACTTTGACTCAAATCTGTTAACTTCCCTGTGAAGGTTCTGCTGTGCTGTGCTTGGCTGGGGTAGATACATAGGACATTCGCATTTCAGTAGCATTTCTATCATTGCGAAACTGTAGTGAAAGCAGAATTAGCCCAATTATGTTTACACCGATAATCAAGTGAAAAGTGCTGTTAATTTTACAACATTATGGTAAGAATTTTAGAGTCTCTAAAGAGCAGCAGTTATTCAGTTCAGTCCACATAAACACTAGGACATTTGTTTTCATTCATTCGAAGTGTAAATTGTTTGTTTAACATATGGTCACCTGTGGTGCTTTAGTGCCTCACTTGATATTTTTTAACTTTTGATCTCTCTAGCCGGTGGTTTGGTTAGGTTTTTTTTCCTCTTTAAATGAGAATTTGGGGTCATTCTATGGGACAAAATGTTTAAAATGTTTCCTTAGTCTCCTTTGTGTTGTTAAGGTGGAGTACACAAAAGAGCAACAAGGTGATCTTATCTTGAACTGTATTCTCATTCAGAAGCCATAGACAAATATCAAATGTTCTTCTGTTGCCCAAACAAGGTGGTAAACTTCAAGATAAACCTTCCTGTTTCTGGTTTTAAGTGCTTAAACCCTTATTATCTGAGTAGCAGAGAGTTGGGTTTTTTGCTTTTTAAACTGAAGAAGAAATGAAATGTATGTGAAAACAGAACTTTATCCCATAAAATCTTTTATTTTCATATGAGTAGCTTTCAGTTTATTTTTAGTAGGAATGATAATATCTGGTTTCTTTTTGAAGGAAGATTGGGAGCTTTCACATCTAATTTCGTTCTTTAAAGTAAGTTAAGAGAATAATTTAAAAAGTAGAAAAGCAAAAGGAGAACATTTCCTTCCTAAAAGTCAACAAGAGTCTGAGAAAAATTCCCTATGATTTGTCACATAAATCTTGTCTTTAATAATTTGATTTTTTGTGTCGAGTAATACCCTCTGTGAGAGACAACAGACAATGGGAGCTGAGGTCTGCCAGGGTCTTCTGAGAGGATACTTTTAGTTCTGGCAGAGTCATGTTTTAGTCTGTTCGGCCTTTACCCAGATTCTCATTGAAGTCAGTGAGAGTCTTCCTAATGCCTTTGTTGGATGCTGGGTTGGAATTAGTCTGCATATGGCATTTCCTTTCAAAGGCAAAGTACACTTTTATTTGCCAAAGTTAACAAACAGCAGCAACAAAACCTATCGCTGAACAGTTTGGGACTTTAGCCTCTAAATTCCATCTGTTAAGTGGAATAGATCCACTCTACTGCATTCTGAGCCAAATCTTGCAGACCTTCTACTGGTTTTATTTACAGTGATGCATTTTATTTCAAGGAGAAGTATTACCTGAGTAAAATTTGAGGTAGGACTAATGGATTCACCCCAGAGACAGCAGAAGGATGTTCTTCACTTCTCAGACTTCTTTAGGAGATAATGGCAGAATTTAATGATGCAATGATAAAAGTTAATATTTTAATCCAATTCTTTAGTAAAATCCTGCATATTTTACTCACTTACGTGAGTGAAATTACCAACATTTAACTTTCTACAATCTTAGTTAATCTTTTGTTAGTGACAGATTATAATTTTAATCAGCAATATAGCGTCAGTTTTATTGGAAATGTGTTCTGTCATGGACGGTTATACTACAGAATTGCAAGTGGTTGGAGAGGTTATTAGTAGCTGGGTGGAAGAAAAAGGAAACAAAAGAGCTTTGAAGCAACTACCTTTGCAGTATGACTGCCTTTGTGTTGGGGGAGTGGATTTCCTGGTTTTAATGAGCTATTTAAGAGCAGTGAGTTTTGTCAAAAACCTATTTTGCAAATAGTGACTATTGAAGAGTGCCTTTGGAGTAACGAGGAATAAGACATTTCAGAGTTAGAAAACTTTTCATGAGACATAGTTTAACAATCCTGTTCTATCACACCCACTCTAGCAATTTTTGTGACTGGCCAAGTTTTGAGCTGGGGGAAGGGAACAGCTTTCCCATTGGTCATAAAATTCACAGAGTATTTCTTCTGAAGACAATAAAGCTAGGAGAAGGCCTCTTTATTTGCTGTGAAAATCATCACCCTTTCCGGCAATATAACTCCTGAAGAAAAGAGGGAGAAGGAAGAGACAAGACTGCATATCAAAGCGAAGAGAAGTGTTGAAAGGGTCTGTTGCCTCAATATGACAGATAGGCCTCAAAACCTCAGACAATGTAGCCCAGGAAAGGAAAAAAAAAACCCCACCATCGGACCTCACAACTAGTTTACAAAGCAAAATAAATTAGCATTAGAACTAGCCCTGGCCCCTTTTTCAGTGCCTCCTCTCTTAACTTTTCAGGAATATTCTTCATCTACTGAAATTGGCATCATTCATAAAATCCAGAAGCTACCTAATTTAGACAGAAGGTGTCATAGTATAGAATACCGTCGGATTACTAACAAAGCATCGTAATCTGGATTCCATAGTTTAACATAGTTTCAGAGGGAGTTAATGTCTGTACTTGGTGATTGGAAGTTAGCTTAAGTCCGCTCCAAATGTGAAACAGCTTTCTGGCCTGAAGATATGCTCAGTTCAAATCTGCATCTTTATGTTA